CTAGTTTCGGACGAATTTATTCAGGCCAATATTGTAATGTTTCATAACAGTTATGAACAAAGGTTTTGGCACCAAAATATCAATTGCGAACATCGAGGTGATAAAAACCATTCGAACACAAACAAAAATATTTCCAATAGTTAGAACAGTTGTTTGAAATAGTCTATATTAATTTTAACATATTAATTTAATTATTTGATTATTGAAACGTTCAGTTATTGATAAATTCTTGACGAATACCTGTTTTTCGGCAGTTTTTTTTTTTATGCTCACTTTTAACGCCTACAACCAACGCCGGCCCAAGCAAATAATCAAAATTATTAATCGAAAAAAAATCAAAATTTGCTACCTCTAAAAAAAAAATTGAGTTCTTATTTTAACTTAGCCCCTCTCCCTATTTTTTATGTGACATTTCTACTTAAAAAAAATTTTAATTTTTTATTTTATGGATAAAATTATATGTAAAAAGACTTAAAAATGATTTCTATAACTATTGCTCAAAATCCATCACTACCGCATCTACCAGATATGTGGTTATTTATATTTTTTGAATAATTGAAAATGCCCAGCGTAGGCCGTAATATAAAGTAATATAATAACTTTAGACAATATTATTTTATTATATAGGAAAGTAGTTTTCACGAAATAAATATTTTTTTTTTAATATTTTTCTTATAAAACACCAATAGAACTAAAAAAATGTTCGAGTCAATTTTAAAAATGCCGCCCCTACTAAAGTGCCACTCTAGGCAGATGCTTGGCTCCGCCTTTAAGGCGAGCTAATGGCTCGCCATAATGTTATTTAAAAAAAACAATATAATAAAATAAAAATAAGCTCTTTTGTATAGTTAAACAAATCATAAATTAGGGAAGTATAATGTTCTCATTAATATACTCAAGAAAGTATGGAAATTAAAATTTAGATGGCTGAAGATACTTCAGAAGACTTGACTAGTAGCATGTAAATAAATCACAGGCGATTAGAATTATTACTTATTAGACGGATATTATCATAAAAATAGCTGCTATCAATAATAATGCGCCGGTTTTGTCGTTACTACATATATTTATTAAACATATAATATTAAACATATCTGTGGTCGTAACCTATTTATAAGCAGCTGATAAACTATACCACGTTAAATAGGAACGCCCAAGATTGTACCGAAACGATATCAAACAATATCAACTGATTAAATTACATTTGACGGTCACTATCTCAAACGTAAAAAAAAATATTTTTCAATATTTCATAAAGCATAAAATTTTCAATTATGAAATATTTCAAATTTACAACCCTAGTCATATCAAAAGCATCGGTACGATCATAGCGCTGATAAATATCCAATCCAATAATTTGGATATCAAAAATAAGGATCCATGAGCAGTGCGTTATATTCGTGTCTGCGATTAATATTTTTATATTTCATTCGCGACTCGCATGGTTTCCGTTACTTTGTCCACAATCAAGAGACAAAGTGTAATTCCAGACCGTTCGACCCGTACGCCGTCCCACGGTTTTATAGAAAAAATACAGCCGTGCACCGTCCGTAACAGATCGTAAGTTAGCGCAGGGCTGGCTAACACAACAACCAGGGGCCGGAAATTCGTTTGAAATAGCCCTGGCTCGGTTAATTAAGAGGCACGAATTTTTTTTTTTTAATTCCACGCAGTACTGGTTAAATAAAAATTTAATTTTTAATTTAATTTAAAATTTTGGATCTTACAAAATTATTTTTTACATACATCTTTAGCATTACTATCCGATAATTAAAATAAACAGTTTTAATAATAACTATCTATTATTAATAAATAAGATCGTGCTTATTAAATTTTTTATTTGCAAGAAAAATTAATTAATTATTATATTATTTCTATTTTTTCAAAATAATTGTAATATTATCACTGCATATAACATCTAAAACTTAATATATATATATTATATTTCTTAATGACTTTTGTCCCGTAAATTCGTAAATAGAATACAGGTATTATAAAATAGAAAAATAAATATAATTTTCCGTTTTCACAGGGCCCCTTAAATGAGTGAGGCCCTAAGGTGGGCACCTACTCCGATTAATGAGTAATCCGATATATTTTTAAATTTTACTTAGAATAAACAAGAGTCCAACAACAATCATAACCATTGGCGGAAATTTGGAGTAATTATAGGGGAGGGCTGAGTTGTCTATACACATTGGACTTACTAATGACACTTGCAAATATTAATTCAAAATTATGGATTGCATCAATAAAACTTTACTTGCAAAATAGTTAAAAAAATATTTAACAACAGTAATATTAGTGTGCGTCAGTATTGTCCGTGACTTTTGTACTATACGTGGCCATATGAGCCGGCCTATTTATGTTAAAAATGTCAAAAAACATTTTAACCATAATGTAATATTTATAAAAAGTATTATAATAACTAATACTATTATAATTTACAATAAAAACTAAACTTATAATAACGATTAGATTGAAACACTTTACACTAAATCAAAAAAAAATAACGAAAAATAAAATTCAAGTCTAACTATAATCCGAATTAAATATAAAATATCCACGTCAACAAGTATAGTCAAAAATCCACGCTAATTTTAGTCGGTACTTGATACTAAATAGCAGTCAAGTGTAAATATATGAATACGATGGAACCACGGACACGGATAGAATTATATTTAGTTCATGATAAAAAATATTGTATAAAACAAGCCAAAACGTTCGAAACAATAACGTAAATAATATATTATTGGATTTCCGTCGAATTCACAACTCAATTTGCTGAGTGATTGGATGAACGTAAATACAATTTATTATACACCCAAATTATTTGGTTAATGTTGTTCAAGAAATCACAAAGTTATAAATTTTACGAGGTATCAAAAGTTAAAATTTTTCTGTTTTATGTGACCCGTTTTCAGTTTAAAAATTGTCAAGAAATTTCACAATTATACATGTGAGTTTTTGACAATACATTATGTGGTTGTTGAAACCGGACGACAAGAGGGGCTAAGACGTGTACTTTGAACTTTTAGGGAATTCAGTCCCCTCAAGCCCCGTCCGGATTACCAACTATGATCAGTGATTTACGAAATAAATTAAATTCGAATACAGTTAAAGTGTAAATATCGAAAACGATAAGCACCCGTTTCGTTACAAATACGTTAAACAAATGTTGGTAATACGATTTTCATAATATCGCTTTTGAACAGCAACAAATACATTGTAAAAGATTTTTGCACTTTTTCTTTTTTTTTTTTTTTTTTGAGAATTTTTCGCTGTTTTCTAGAGCATCCCTGGTAACGTAAAAGCGCTCGCGTCATCGGCGCGAGAACGGTGGCCGCGGCACGAGAAGGTCTCGACCGCCACGAACATCCGCGTCGCTTCGCTCGAGTCGATCCGTACACCCCATCCGGCCGAACGAACGACCGCCACCCCACGGCCGGATGCGCTGGACGAAACGTGTGCGACGGGGTCGAGGTTTCGCGTGCAGCTCGCGGCCCCGGCGGGTGGTAGCTGCGTAGCGACGCGCCCGGCGATGGTGGCGGGGAAGGCTTTGTCCGGGCCCGGCGGCCTCGAGCTCTGCTGCGGACGGGCGAGAAGAAGCCGCCGCGGGTCTGTGTGCTCGCCGCCCCCGCACCACCCGACGTGTGCCGCACGCGCGACGGTGCGTTTTCCGAGCGTTCAGATGCCTACGGCAGGGTAACCACCCGGCGAAAACATTTCGCAGCCCCGTCTAGTAGTGCGCAACCGCCGGGGGCCGCCAATAATCCGGCGCAGCGATTCCGAGCGTTTTTAGTATTACGAACAGCCGATCTCGTAAAGCGAAAAATCATCGAGTAATACCTTAGTATAACCTCGGTTATTACCTACAGTTTATTTATTAAAAAGGAATTATCCGTAAAAAAAAAAAATAATAATAATATTCAGTTTATCCATGGGTTAAACAGTTCAACGTGATTTTTGACATTGCTTATCCCCCACGAGAGAATCAACGACTGGATCTCAAAACTGAAAAGTTTTAGCCTTAAATCGCTTTCGAAATTGAGTTTATTAAACTTTAAAAAATTAAAGTGAAAAAAACTCGTTCGCACACACACACAGTTTTTCGAGATATAGCCATCAAGTTTCCAAGTGCGATTTCAGGAATAGTCTTGCCGAATATTTAACCGGAATGGTAATAATGGTATTAAACGGATGGTCTGGTTTTAAAAAACGATTTTAGAGTCAGATCGCACGAAAGTTCAATCAACAAATCTCCTTCGCTAATATTTCATATTTTAAAAATATACTTTAATATTATATGGTTCACGGCCCTATACCATCCTGCTCACGGCCCATGGAGTAGGGAAACATTGATCTAGCGTACCGAACGAAAAACGTACACATTATATGCATTGTTTTCATATGCATGTTTTTATACATTGATCTAATTTTTTTTTCACGTTACGGGACTGAATATTTGGTTTTACGAATAGGCGAGCACGCGTCAGATGCTTACACGACGTTGGTAAGAAGCGGCGGTCGTCTCGTCGAAATAGATTGATTTGAGGGTCGTGGATCGAAAAAGGTTGCGCACCGCTGACGATGGTCGTTTTGAAATACAGAGCGAAACACTATTCATCGGCAGAAAAGGCTTTTTCTTTTAAAAACTATGTAAAGAGAAATAAATTAGGCGACGTGCGACAAACTCGTACGTAACACAAATACCGTCGACGATTAGCTTTTTCTACCAGTTAAGTATTCTCAACAATCTTGCGGAGCGAAAACGTGAGACGCCGCCGTCGACCCGTCATTGCCGCGAAAATGTTTCGAAAAAAATACGCCGCCGCACGCACGCACGGACCATAATAGAGTGAAAAAAAAAATTAAAAATACTCCCGAACGGCCCGGGCCTAAAAAATGGAAAATAGAATACGACACGTCGCGAAAAATCCCCCCGCAAAAAAAAAAAAAACCGAAATCACCGTTTTTCTCTAGTTCGTTTTTTCCCGCAGCGTACGAGAGCATCAAGAGGACGTGCACGTCGCAGCTGCAAATCAACCTGTTCATGGTGGACCACGTGTGCATGATGGAGGGCACGGGCACGGGGCACATGTGCTTCTGCGAGGAGGACAACTGCAACGCGGCGCCCGGGCCCGAACGGACCGGCGGGGTGCTGGTGGCCGCCGCGCTCGCCGCGTACCTGCTGCGACAGCGATAGAGCCCCCCCACCAGGGACGAGCCTGCGAACATCCAACGAGTACCTTTCGCGGCTATATCGTTATCATCATTATTATTATTTATTATTTATTACTATTGTTGTTGTTATAAGTGTTTTTTTTTTCCCTCGCCCACCACCCAAAGAGAGTAACCCGCGTTCGTTGTCGTCGAGTTTTGAAAAAAGTAACGTTCAACGGTCGGAAACCTGCACTGTACGTACCTACACCGGCGGCGTGGCCGAAAAATATTTTGGGGACGGAGGATTTTATGTTTTCAATCATCTCTCTCCCGATCGAGTACCGATGTTCTAACTTTAACGGGGCCAGTTGTAACGTGCGATTCGGTTTGTTGAAACCGTGAACGGTTCTTGACATGATACGAACATTACACATTTCTCGTTTACGTGTCTAAAGATCGTCGAATTTATCTTACAAAACAAAAAAAGTCATTTCGGGGGAGTGGAGGTTCTTACCCGTAACCCCCACACCCCGCCACCGGCTACGCTACTGGTTCATATGTGTACGTCGAGTTCGCGTTTTTTTTTTTTTTTTACAACGCGTACACGTATTTCTGTACCGCAATTGTATCACATTAAAATTGTTTATAATCATTTTTCTCGCAGCAGGTCACCGATTTCCACATTTGGTTCGTAGAAAAAATTCGTTTTCGATGTTAAAAATAACGTCGACCATCAATTTTGATTCGATTTCGAAAAGTCCTAATCATGATTTCGGTTTTCCGATTTTTACAAAAAGATGATGCGGTTACTTGCAGCAGTTTACCAGAGAGAATCGGGTTTAATATCGAACCAATAAAGTACTGTATAATATGATTATTACATCAACAATAATTCGTTTAAAGTATAAACAGTTTTTTGATAGATTTTAATAAAAAAAAATCATCTTTCCATAAAATTTAATATTTTTAATTTGAACACTAATAATGATTTCTTGAGCAAGGATTTTAGATTTAAATTTTAAAATACACTCCTTAAGGATTTTTACCAGTTCTAGAATTTCGCCCCTCCCCCTTCAAGAATACAAGTTACAATTTAAGGTGGTGACTCTTAAAATGAATAGCGCTCAATTCAAAAATATTATAATTCTAAAACTACTGCGTTACAATTAATTATGTTCATTGTAATTGAGTGCATGTGTAATTCACATACATCTCATAGGGTAAATCATAATTTGTGTCCCTTATTTGTTTGTATTCTATATCGGGGACTTAGATAAAATGTGTACTCGTTATATCATTAAGCGGTCTATTTTATTTGTAAGTTGAATACATAAATTTATAATTATATCATATAAATAAATATATATATGTATAAGATAAATAATTAATAACAATGTTAATATTCACAATGAAAAAAAAATAATTATTATAATTATCAATAGTAAGTCAATATTCAAATACAGTTACATTTATTAACGTAAAATTGTATTAGTAAGGTGAGTAACTATATGAGTTTACCAACACTGGAGTTAACTGAAGTCATAAAAAATATACATATTATAAACAATTTATGGCAATAAAAAAAAAAAAAAAACATTTACAAGTACTTTTATAATATTGCAGGAAACAGAACTAAAAATTTACTTTACGGCACAGTTGATATGGCAAAACATGCGATAGAAAACATTGCTGGCAGTAACAATAATTTTACTATAGATAATAAGTACTAATTTTAAGAATAAATAAATTGTTATAACATGTAATATAAAACAACAATTATAGATTTTAAACAGTCCATAATTTAATATTTTATAGTAAATATATATATTTAATTCATTATTAGGTTAAAATAAAATACAAAAATATATAACTCACATTTTGTGTGAAATAAATAATTTAACTAATATGATGAAACTAAATTTAAACATTAAAAAAAAAAAACAACATAGCAATGGGTAAAAAAAATTCCATTAGTAATTTAGACTCATTTGAGTAAGAAAATCAATAAATCCACTTTTTTTTTAAATAACTTAAACAACAATAATTTAAATAGTAATCAGTAAAAACAATACATGGAGCCTCTTTACCATCAAACATACAGACAATTTTACCTAAAAACATAATGATAAAAGTGTTTGGATATTAACCAGAAAAATATGTAGATTTTAGAAAATATTTACTTGATGCCTCAACACACTATTTATAAATACATAAGTGTTTTATTTTAATTTATTATTTAAATTTTAAGTAAACTGCTTAAAAATAATAAATTTTGAACAATGATACTTATTGTATTTATGTAACCCATTGAAGCTGTTTTGGTGAAAACTTTGCATAAGTAGAAAATTCAACAAATTATCTAAAATCATTTATATAATAATAATGTAAGTAATTTCAGTGTTAAAAATCGTTGTTGGTTTCTTTTTTAAATACCCATGGTAATATTTACAATTTAATAATGCTTAAAAGCTATTAAAATTATAACGTTATTTCTGAACTATTTAATAAAATAAAGTTAGCACAAACACCTTTAGCCCAAATTATTGAAAATATTGAATAATTATTAAACAAAGCTAATTATAAGTATAAATACAGTAAGTACTGTTAGTCATTGTTCACACAGTATTGAATTGACAAATGTGCAATCAAATTTTTAATGATAGTAGTAAGTTGGATAAATATGACGATAATATAACGACTATAATTACAATTCGAACAGGTTAATTGACTAGAATTTTAGAATGTGAGAACAAATCTTTTTCAAACCATGTTATATGTATATATAATAAACCATGGTGTCTAGGCGCATGCAACAAAATACTTTAGATAAGAATGTGTTCGTGTATACTTATTATAGGAACTAACGAATTAAGATACAAAAAATAATTCTATTAAGTCACCAGTAGTTAAAAATCAAAAAAACAAGAAATATGTAGAATAAAATGTGTGAAAACAAATTACGGGCTATGGGCATAAAGTAAAACGTGGTTTGTTTCGAAAAATAGGTTAAGTTCTTAATACATTACAAGAATTCAAATGTCACAATACTAACTAATATAAATCGAACACAAACTAAGACTACCTACTTAGTGTTACCTCAACAGGAGGACAAAATATAATATATGGCAATGGTTATTAAGTATTACAATATTACGAATGTGTATACATTAATAAATGCTTAGCACATGGTTTCTATAAAAAAAAAAAACCATAGCGCGGCAGTTTTTGTGAATTGAAGTTTATGGTGTGCATGCGACTGATGGACCACAAAAAAGGTACAGATATGCTCTTATTCGTTGACTGTGTATGATTTGGTGGTAGTTGTCGTCGTCGTGTTATTTTTACTGATTGTTGACGAACAATTATACTTCAAGGTGTTGTTCATGGTGGACGTCAAGTTTTTGTTAAACACATTTCTGTGATTCGAGTCTGCAAAACAAACACAATTCAACATTTAACAATAATTTGTAGCACAAAAATATGTATCATTATTAATTTATAAATAACCAATACTAGAATCATAATTACTAATAACTTATTACTTATTGTAATACTGTAAAAAAATTACTATTTGTATTGTTAAAATAAAACGATTGATACACTGATAAAACAGATAAAGTTATACTGAATGCGAACAAAAATATTACAAGTTTATTCGTTGTAGTTATGGTATGTTATTTACTTCGCAATTAGTGATAGATACTAGGAAAAATACATTTTAAATTTTAAAAGAAACAAAGAATCAATTTTAAATTAAATCTGCTAAATGTACAACCAGCAACATTGAAAATATTAACTAATTTATTCAATTACTTATATTTTTAAAGTCCACTACATAACCCTAATAATGATAATTAGAGTTAAGAAATTGTAGGAATTTCATATTGGTCTGTATGTTCTTAATTTATAGAACACTTAAGCTAAAAATCTAAACTATACAATGGCGAGATTAAAAACCAAAAATTAAAAATGCATATCTCATTGATTTTATACGCATATTATCTAATTTTATATTTTTCTAAAATAATTTAACTTTTACTTCCTTAACCTGTATACTTCAATTAATATTGAAAACTTAACAGGTATTAACAAATAACATAACATAATTTTTTCGTAATTTCAAAAATACTGAAAACATATTTTTAATTATATTTTCAGCTGAACAAAATTTTAAAATGCCAATCAATTATATATTTCTTTAAATTATAAAATAGTTTTTATTTATATTAAGTATTAATTTATTAACATCAGATGTATTTTTTTTAGAAATCAGAATTTTTTTTTTTTGCATATTTAACATTTTTAAAGCATATTTTTTCTTTTTTAGCTCCTACAACATCCAAGCCCTAGTGATAATTATTGCTTGTACAACAAAAAAGTTGAGGAAGAAATAAAACTAAATTCGATACAATTATTAAAAGCAACTGATTGCTGATTAATTAAACAGCAATTTTAAATTTTAGGGGCGACTATATTTGAAATTTGAAAAGCGCTGTTGGATGTTTCTCACCTCCACCTACTTAATTAATCCTATATGTTGAGTATATTTACCAGTAATCGGTGTACCCGAATTGAATGAGTACAGTTTATTCGTGCCTGAATGGAAAGTCTCATTAAAAGTGTTTAGACTAGTTTGGTCGCCTGAACTGTTAAGGAGTTTATACATATTGTAGGCGTTTGACTGAATGTTGTCTCCATTAATATCCAAACTACTGTTATTGCAATTCTCAGCAGTACTTCTATAAAACATACCCACGTCTACAATTAATTAAGAATCTCAAGATATTATAATTGGATTTTCGTCTGTTAATTATGCCTGTGTATGTGTATTTGTAGGTCCTTCTAAATATCAACAATTGATTGAGGAAATGAAAAACACTAAGACCAGTAAGCATATTTACACTTAGCCACATTATCAGCACTTATACGATTGAAATAAAATACAAAGAACTATGAAGAATAATGATATTACTAATTGTTTTTAATATTTACTTATTCAGAGGTAATATAAAGTGTATTATTATTATTAAATTATTAAATCATATATTTCCATAGGTAATTGGTTTATATCTATGATTTAATATTATACTTATATTATAAACCTTTATAGTTACTACTTTATTGAATTCCTCATTAAGAGTAACAGATTTAATTTTAATTGACAAAGTAAATTTCCTCATTTAAATTTAAATATTTTTATGATTAGATGTTTATCGGTGTTAACAATAATTAACAATTTAAAACAGACATAAATAATTATCAAATTCTACCAAAAAAAAAAAAAAAAAAAAGCTAATGCAATAAATGAAAGAAAATAGTCAAAATAAATATGTTTTTTTACACACACACACACACACAGACACGCAACAAATACACATACACAACGCTATTAAATATTTAACAATACTACAGCGTTAACAGACTAAAAGAAAACAGTTCAAAAAAATAATATAAAAATACTATCAATTTGGTATTGTTTTAAATTCCTTTATGCGTTTTACCTGTTGTTACCATTGAACTGGTGTTCAAACGATGACAAGTCATTTTCTATCAATTCTGTGGGGCTTGTACCATCATCTTTAGACTTGTATTTGGCTTGTCTAATAACAACCAACCGTTGCCTAGCCTCCTCTAGTTCACGTTCGATCCTCAACACTTCTGACCTGTACATAGATTATGGGGTTTTAATGTAATACATCATAAAATCGTATAGCTAAGACAATATTTTACCTGGCATTGATTTCTTGCGCTATTCCACCAACCATTCGTTTACTGAGTACCAAACTTCGCTCTTCATCGTTCTGAATAGCTTGTTGAGCCGCTTTAACTAGATTGTCAGTTGCACGTTTTACTGCATTACCAGCAGCCTAAATGAAAAGTAAAAAAACATAATGCGTTATAACATACTTCATTGACATTTATCAGTATGTATATTAATTTCAAAAACATATTTGAATGAAAGTTTCATTATTTTATTTACCAATAATCTCTTTGTAGAAGCACTGTCTGGGTCAGCTTTAACTTTACACGACACCAGTAATTGAGCAGTTGAAGAGGCTACTTGTTTGGCCGATGAAATCAGCTTTTCTTCGCTGGATATTCCTTGAACCAGAGCATTCGCCGATTCGACTAAACTATGAGTAGCAGCTGCAACCAAACGGGATGCTGATATGAGTCCTTCAGACCATTGACCGTCATCTGAACTAGTTAAAGTTATGCGACTGACCTATTTGGATAAAATGTTCACAATTCAATAATCAACTCTAAAGTGATACTAAGTTAAGCCACAGATTTCTTACTTTTCCGGAATCAATAAGCTCACGTTGAGCAGCTGATGCTGCTTTCACCAGAGCTGATGTAGCAGCAGCGATTGATTTGGCCGCTTCTAAAATAACTTCATCAAAATTCCACGAAGCGTCCGCTGCCTCCTAATCAAACACGAAGCATAATAATGTATTAAATATTTTCCAAAAATAAAAATAATAATCGTTTTAATCATCACTATTAGGAAATTAAAAAACACTGAACGTAAATATAATATATATTTTATACCTGTCTTATACTAAATTTAACGGTAATGTTTGGTAACGGTTTGGAAATTCAAAAAATTTACTTAGATTTATTTATGTTTATGAGAATTTGCACACATATTATCTATATAAATTTGAATGAAAGAACATTTAAATTAATTATTACCCAAACAGAAATATTAAATACAAAAATTTGAAAATATATAAATTATTTATACATTTTATTATTTCTCATTTCACTAAACACTATAAGTATTTAATATTATAATAATATTAAATTAATTATGTTAATAATGTATTAATAAATATGTCATTTCAGAATATAAACATAAATAACAATAGCCGCTAGAATTTAACCTGAGAAACCTAAAAAAATATTAGCCTAAGAAAAATATATGCTACTATAACATATAATGTTATATACTATAACATTAATTTCTAATATTAATTATCTACATAAATCAAGACTCGTATACATAAAATGAATAATTATAATAAAAATGTCAATAATTTTACCACGCTGGTTGATTTCCTAGGACGTAAAGCAGCTAACTTTTTTGCAGCTGCATCAATACATTCCGCTGCGCCTAACAACTCATTTTCAGCTATAATTGTAGGATCTTCAGGACTAACCCAATCGTTACCTAAGTAATATATTTTATTATGTTAATTCTTAATTTCCTATAATACTGAAAAAATAAATCAAAATACAACTCAATACCTTTGATAATTTCAGTTACAGATATTAATTCAGTGACATATTGGGCAATCAAACGAGAAATGGTTTGTAATACATGCTTGGAATCAGTACTGGAATTTGGTTTTGATATTATCAAAAGTACAGTCTGCAACAATTTTCTGTATTCTTGACCAATATCGTGTCCTGCTTGCAACGTCCGTTCTCTCAACTCAGCGTTTTCAATAGTATTACTGCAACCCTAAATAACAAAAAAATTTATAATATATATGAACTATTAAAAATCTAGAATCTAATGCATCTTATATTTTTAAGAGAAATTACTTTGCACACGGTTAACAAATCTGATATAGCTTTACGTCCCATATTTGCAGCAACAATAACATCTTCTTGTTTACCACTATTTCCAGCTGAAACAGCTTTGGCTGTAGCCATTGTAATAGGCTTCGTACAACGTATTAATTCTTCTACAGTCGCTGTTGTTTTGAATGTTTCATTCGAATTTAAAGCCTGAAATATCATAAACAAAGATGGTTTAAAATTTAACCCCAAACTGCACACATATTTTATAATGTATAATTAAATGTATTATATACATATAATATATGAATAATGTAAACGTAAATGTAAATATAGTTCAATTTAACAAAGTATTAAAATATCTCGATGAATCAATTTAAAACCAGCTTTCATAGCTTATAAATTTAAATTAAATTTTGAATTGAAATACTAAAAAATAACCAAATTACACTAACACAATTATAAAGTATACAACTGAAAGTAATAAAACTTATGTTTCACTAATTTATACAAACTTCTATCAATTTTTGTACTATACTTAAATACTGAGGTTCAAATTTATAAAATCACACATAAATACTTTTTCTATAATATTTTATCCATTTTATTTAATTAATTAAAAATTCAAACTTTTTATAAAAAAAAAAAACTAACCATAATTATTAAAACATAATTGATGAAGTTATTTACAAAAATCCTAACACAATTCAAAAATCTATATATTTCTATCTATACTTGTTAATGTTCCAATTATATGACTGGTTATAAAAAATTATTATAAGTACCCGAATTTCTTGGCCAATAACTTCTATAGTTGATTCGAGAGCCCTTGTTCCGCGGGTGTGCTCGTCTTCAACAGCTTTAACAGTTTTTAAAAGTGAGGTTACATTTGTAACCATTACCTAAGAAAAAAATAAAGAAAAATAATTGTATTTAATCAATTACTTTTATTTAATAAACTTACTTTAGCACTTTCTTTTAGTTCATTCATTGATGGATCACTAATATTTTTTCCAGATGCAGCTTTAGTTGCTTGAACTAGATCTCCTAATGCAGTTGCAACATCTTTCACAGCATTAATCAACATAACCTATTTATTTTTAATTAATTAATTAATTAATATTTTATTTTAAACTTTCTATGTTTAATATTATTTATTATATTAGCATATTAATGATTATTATGAATGCTCTTCATAACATGATATATTTTATATACAGTTTTAATTATATTTTATATACATAAATATGAATAGAAAGAAATGGTACATTTTTAATATTATGTGAAGTGAATTATTTTAATTTACAACATTGATTTAAATTAATGAATTATTATATATTTAATATATAATATATATTATAATTAAGAATACTTAGAATAATATTTCATAATACATTATAATATAAATACTTATATATATTTATATCAAATATTAGATTACATAAAACATATCATAAATACTCAACAAATAAATAATAATCAATTGATAATATGCACACACCTGAGCTTCGGGATTGTTAGCTCCCAAAGAAGCTGCACCAAATTTTACAACATCAGCCAACTGTATTATAGTTGACACAGCATTTTGAGCAGCAACAGCTAGTTGTTCTTGGGAAGAAGCTGCGCCTAAAATATATTAAGAAATTAAAATGTATTTGACTAAGTTAAATATAAATTAAATAATAATAAGCTGTTATTTTTATAGTAGTTTTAATAGATTTCTTACAAATGTATTATGTATATATATATATAAATATGTTAAAGAAATATAGAATTCCGGTTAATTAATTTATATGCCAGACAATTTAAACAGCAATCACAAACAAAAAATAACAATTTTTTGTAAAATACTTTAGTATGACATACTTATTACATTTTTAAATTTGAAAATAATTAGTTTTAATAATTTCAGCTGGTTTATAAAAAATATCACTTAATGTTCATATATTTTTGACTGATTTAATCAACATAGCTATTACTATTATTAGATTTGTGTGATCATAAAAAATAATCAATATTTATGAAAAAGTATAATAAAATAAACAATAAAATTAATTAAAAAAATATTTGTATTCGTGGTTTAAATGTCAGGAATTCATTGTCTGGAATCCTATAATAATTTATGTTTAATATATATAAATATATATGAAAAATAAATAATTAAATCTATATATTTGAATTAAATTAAACTATAATCCTTAGGTGTGTAAAACCTACTAAATAAAATGTATAATTAAACAATTGAGTTATATACAAATTAATATAATAAAAAAATAGTATTATGCTTAATTTAATAGAATTTGAAATACATCTTAAGAAATTGAAACTAGCAATATTTTAAATATTAAATTTAAATTAACACTAACCAGTAACTAATGTTTTAGTATCTTCAACTAAAGCCTTGGCGGTTTTCAATATATTCTCACGATGGTCAGAAAATGTTTCATTTTCATTTTCTGCATGAAGAGTTCCAGCTGTTGCAAAAAGTATCGTTGTATCTAAATCACCAATGATACCAGAAACCGTACTGGCTGCATTTATACATGCTTGAGTACCACGAGTTCCACCAGATGAAAGTTTTTGCAATATCTATAAACACAAATATTTTATTAATTTAATTGTCATATAATTTTTCAATCAAAACAAAGCATAAATGAAAGAAAAGTTATAACATACTTGTTGTTTTTCAATTTCTGTCACAGTATTTTGTAACTGATAATCATGTGTTGATTTATGGTAACCATAATTTTGATTATTGATGTTAGTGTCATGATTAAATTCATATCGTTTAGTCAATGTTGATATGTCCATCAAATTTTCACCTATTAAATAAATGAAAAAACATTAATTTATGTTATTTAAATATTATATCATATGTAATATTGATATGTTAAATTTAAAGATATATTTTGTACCTATACCACTAGAGTTTCTTGTAGAATTGGTCTGATCGATAAAGCCAGTGTCATTAGATGACTTTGAATATTCTTGAACTTGGAAAGTTTTTTCAGTGTTAAATCTCTTTTCTTTTGAAACTGGTGATGTGCACACGTCTACCAAATTACTCAAACTTTCACCAACAGCTCTACATAATTTTGAAAATTAAATATTTTTGTCTAAAAACATCTATATTTACAATTTACCTAGAAGCACTTGTAAGTCGATTAAGTAGTTGATTTAATGTAGTAGTAACTTGATAAGCAGCATCTGAAAGTTCTTGCAATAAATGTGCATTATTTTCATGTTGTGTTAAATTGCATACTGAAACTAAATCTTCAACTGCATTAACCACCTCTCTAGCAGCCGCCATTAATTGTTCTTTACAACTTGGATTTTCTACAGTACCAGCAACAACCTAAATAATATACAAATTAAAACAAATCTAAACAATAATAATTTGTTACCAAAATATAAGATATAAATTAGAACCAGAGAACTTACTTTTGTACATGCTACTAGTTGTGAGGTTGTTAAAGCACATGTAGTTGCAGCACTAATTATCTCATTTGATTGATGTTGTGGTTCTACAGTTGCTGCGACATTCTTAGCTTTGACTACAAGAGCAGCAGTTGTATTAGCTACAGCTTTAGCCAAGCTCAATAAAATATCACGAGATTCATCTGCACTCTCATCCCCAATTTGAGTCAAAACTTCTTGGGAAGCCTCGCCAACTTTACTAGCAGCATTCAATAGATTTTGACGTCCCTAAATATATAGCTCAATAATTAAAATCTCTATTTTCATCATAAACATTTTTAATTAAATATTTATAATAACATACAGTATTTGCATCTGGTTGAACAGTATTTAATAGATCAGTAAAAGCAGAACACAATTTACGAGCTGCATCTAATAAATGATCACCAGATGGGGTTAATGCAGCTAAAACTCGTACACCTTGACTCATTTCTGGTAAATTTGTAGTAATAGACGTAATAGCTTGTTCAACACTAGAATAATCAATATCTCCTAAAAAATATTAAAAAAAACATTCATATTATAAACATTTGTTATCTCATTAATTAAAAAAAAAATAAGGAATTCTAACCAGATGTTAATGTAACTACTTGAGCTGTGGCAGCATTCATAGCAGCAATCTGGGAGCTAACATTTTGTTTGTTAGAATCTATTGTAGTTTCTTTAAGTTTAGTAGATGCCTGCAAATTTAGAATCAATAATTAACCATCAATTTTCAATACATAAAATAGAAAATATCTCTTACAGCATCTGTACCAAATTCTGGAATGACAGCTTTTGATATTAATTCCTTTTCAATGGTGGTTATTATTTCTTGACTGTTAGATATTGTCATTGACAATGCTTTCTGTGGTGCACTTAATACTTTGATTTGTTTGTTTTGTGGTGCCTTTAAAAAATAAACAAATATTCTTAAAAACTCCTCATGTAAAACACTAACACCAAGTCAAATTTAAACATACTACTGATGGAGTATGGGCTATGTTTACTCGTCCACTGACTGTTGTATACTGAGCATTGCCTACATGTCCCAATCCATATGGTCGAGCACCTTTATATAAAATGTTTTATTAATTTAAAAAAAAAAATAAAAAATCCAAAATTAAAAATTATAGTTATATTAACAATATAGAATATGTAATATTCATCTACAAATAATTATAATTAACTACTTATTTATGTATAATTGTTTGTAAAAAAATTAAGCAGTTTGAAACTTTAGTTTCTAAATTAAAAAAGCTAAAATTAAATTACACTTATATTAGTATACACTTTAATGGCTTTTCAATTTAAGTATCAATACATTAATAAACCAAGGCATGAATAATTTATTAATGACTGTATAATACTTAGATCATATACTATATGATGAATCTCTTGATTATGTGTTTAAAATACGCATGTGAGATGCGATTCATCGTATAATTATCGGAACGGTTTGACAAGCGCCAGCCAAATAAACGCCGACCGATCAAATTTCAATACACAGATTACTCATCTGATAAACATGCGAGGAGTAACTTTGCATATGCGCATGTCGCACACCTAATTTGGAGACCCTTCGCTTATATTGGAAATAACTTTATTTTATTGATTTAATGGGGGCTCCATCTATTATAGCTTTATCCATAATATACGATCTAAGGTGTAATAAATGCTCATCTTACAACTTAAAATTTAAAACAACCATAATTTTAAAATGAAATATTAAACGCAATCGCTACAATCAATGAAGAATTATTTATTTTGTTTAAAAACCATATTTAAAGTTTGATTATTGTTCTAAAAATATTACTTAAATAAAAAACCCATAGAAAAAAATTTGATACATATATAATAAATTAAAAAGCTAACTACTAAGGTTTAATTTTTGTAATAAAATCTGCAATTACAAATTCACTACATAAATTGAAACTTTCTACAAAACTCATGTATACAAATACACATGCACAATGGGTAACTAACACAATAGGCAATCATATTTATATCAAAAACTACTTCTATATTTTGATACTTCATGCAAAAAAACTACCTGTATAGCACATCTCCAAAATGTATATTCACTAGATAAATATACAGTTCTTATAAAATTGAATAATTATATGTTACATAATTTATATTCATAATTTTTTAAAAATTAAATGGTCACATATCATATTGATTTCAATAGTTCATATTTTATTTAAGACATTAAAGATATTAAGGAGACATACGGTAACATTTAACTATTATACCTACACTGTTGAACACCAGTACAAACATAAAAATAGTATTAACTATAGAATTTATGATACATATAATAATACTAAACTACAAAATATAGATAAAATATTCAATGGATGAGAAAAATCCAAAATTATTTTGTAATTTAGTTATGAAACCTACAAGAGTAATGATAATTACAACTGAAAAGGGCAAATGAAATACAGAGGAAATGATAAAATACGCATTCATTGATTGAGGGCTAATCAATATTACCTTTAAATCTCCAGTTTGGCTGCATCACGGTGTATTTTTTAAACACGATGCCATGAAGTTATCTATATTCATGAATAAAACATGTTTAACTCTACATTTTTTTTCAAAAAACATAAAAGATTTGCTACAGAACATTCCAATTTGGCGCCAAAATTTTGAACATTGTACTCTTATTATTTTAAGTATAAAATCAAAAATTAAAATAATAAAATAATACTATTTGTTTCTTCTCCTGTTATAACTATCAAAATAAATCATAATTCGATAATAATTGATCACAAATAATTTAATGAAAAAACCTGGGAAATATTAGTAAAAAAATAGCCATTGTTTTTATGCGAAAGATAAAGTAAATAAATTATTTTAAGATAATATGTTGTAAATATTTATCAATATGAAAAACTTAGGAAATTTATTTTTACTCGTGCATTAGCTAATTACAGCAGTATATAGAAAAACCTCAGCTAAAGTTAGAATTGTGAATTTTCGATTCACAAATTTTAAATAAAAATAAAAATGTAATTTAATGGTAGATTTTATTTAATAGTATTTAATACTAATTATGTGGTACATTTAAAAAACCTACTGTTAATAACTATTAATTTGTAACATTTCCCAGTGGTTATAATAATCAAGTTCACAACTTAAGTCAAATAATAACATGTGAATACAAATTTAATTATTCAATACATTAAATTGGAAAAAAAATACAAAATAGAATACATTATTTTACATTAGCTCCATACATAAAATATAATTTGAATTATTAATACAAATTAAACTTCTAAAATACTATACTAAAATTGCCTTTTTTTTTTTCAAAATATTTTTCTAATTTTTAGTTTGTATTTATAGCACTAAATAAAAACTAAATAAAATATATACCAATTCTGTATTCATAAAATTAATATATGCTAATAAATATGTGAATAGTCAATAATATTTATAACAAGTTATAGTGTTATTTAAGTTCAATATATCATAAAAAATCCAAAAGAAGGAAAATTTATTTGATAATCAAAGTGAATATAAATATCTATTTTAATAAATACAAAAATTAATTAATTTAAGACACAATAAACTTTATAGATATAATTGTCTTTAAATATTATATGTTAATAGTAAACTAAGAGATGCAAGTTAAAAATTATTTTTTTTATGTTTTTTTTTTTTTTTTTTATTAATATAATTTGTAAATTTATGAAACTAGTATAATTTTCACGAAAAGCATTATAAAAGCTTATGTATACTATTTATATGCCTCTACAAGATATGTTAGAATTGTGATTATTAACATTATTTTGTGCAAAAATTATATTTATTTTAATTTTAATAAATAAATAAATTAAAATAAACCAACCTTCTGCTCCAGCTCTTATAACTGCAGGTTTGGCAACAGATTCAGTATTGACTTTTCCAAATTGACTACTCTCATGTTGTAAAATTGTAGCCCTAATACAATAAATAATATTAAATAAACAATGAATTATTTCATATTCATGCATTAAAACTAATCACATAAGTCAAAATAAGTAAAACATAAGTCAAAACTCAGTTAAAATATAAGTTAAAAAAAGGTTTTATTTAATTTATATTTACTTCTTGTAAATAAAATGGTAAATAAACACTAAAGTATATCCTCAATGTAACTGGTATAGAAACTTACTTAAGAGGGGAAATACTATCTTCTACCATAGTTGAACCTTCATCTCCTTCAATGCCAAAATGATCTTTTGATTTTTTCTATAAAATAATAACAAATATATAACATTTTGTCCAATTAAATATTAATGGTATATTCACTTTTTTTAATATAATATCAATGTAACCGGAAATTAACTGAAGTATTTGTTCAGCTTCAGTTGTTTGCACTGAATAATACTGATCCGAGTAATCTCCAAAATCTAATGTAAATGTATTTGGTGATGCTCCCCATCTTCTAACGGTCGTAAGTGGCCACGTTTTTAATATCTCTTTGGTTCTTTCATCTAAACGTAAGACTGAATCTTTTGTGACTCCCAAAAGGCGAGGAACCAATTTATTTTTTCCTTTCATTTTTTCCTAAAACATAATCAAATTTTAAAGAAACAACTAAAATTGAAAAAAAAAACATTCATAATATACTTTGACTAAGAAAAATGTGACTCCATAAGTTGGTAATGATCGAGCAGTTTTAGTGTAGAGAACTTTAGCATCCAGTTCAGATAAACCAATATGTTTTTTGTGTTCAGAAAATATTTTCTTTTCTATACTTTTAATTTTAGTATAAGATTGAGGCAAAAATTCTTTGAGACTAAAAATAAAATTTAAATATTAATAGAATTTTATTTTATTTAGGTAATTAATTTAAACTTTACTCTAAAAATGGAGGACGATGTTTAGTTTCACAGTAATTGCCAAATTGAATATGAGTTTGAATACCAGCTAATTGTAAAGCAAGTTCTTCTGTTACTGGATGAGTTCCATCTAAAATTGCATCTCTTGCCTACAAAATCAAATAAATAAATAATTTTTAATTAACAATGTGTATCAATACTATTGACAAAATAATAAAATTGACTATGTCAATTACCTGAACATATAATAAGTTTAATTGTACAGGATCATGAGAATCTATATTTCCATCAGAAAAGAAAAATTTCCTTCGCAATAGCACACGTTCACCTTCATCAATACCTTGTTCTCTTAATGTTTTAGATGGATCAACCCAGTTAACTAGGTACAATAATAATATGGTAATTATTTGATTAATTTTTTTAGTTAAATTTCAGTATTCTTTTTTCTTTTTAATTCAACTCAAAACATATTTCATAAATTCACTAATTATTTAAAAATTACCTTCATCATCTGTTTTCAACTTTTTACGCAACTGTTCCATCTTCGCATCTTTTTCTCGTTCTCGATCTTCTTTTCTTCTTTTTAGAGTTAAAGTTCCAAAATTAGCTTTATTCTCAACTTCTTCTTCTAAAGTTTCTCTAACAAGACTGTATTCATCATGATTTGTAATTCCTAAAAAAAAATTGAGCTCCATAGTTATATTATTTAATACAAAAATTATCAAATGATTGACGCAAAAAAATAGTAGACGCAATACTTAATTTATAAAAATTATTTAAAAAAAATAATTTTAAACATTTAGACTCTTACCAATTTTTGTACATATAACAACCATTAAATTAGCCACTGGTTGACTGTCATCAACAAGAAGGGTTTTCAATGTTCCATCAAGCATATGTACTTTTAATGTTCTCATTTTTTTTCGATACTCCAGTAAATCCTAAATTGTACACATATAATGTATAAAACAATACTAAATATTTTACAGATCTAATATTTTTATGAATTGTTTTAAAATAATTTTTATTTTAACTACTAAAAACTATTTGTAATTTGCTCAATACATAAATTTAATTTTAACCTATCTAATAGAATTATTGTTTAATACCTAATTAAATAACTACTTACATTTTAAATAAAATAATAAAATATAAAATAAAAGTTAGTAAATTATAAATAGTCATAAATTAATACATAAATAAATAGTTAATGTATAGAAATAAATAAATAAATGCTTAACCAAAAGTATTATTAAATTTGTAATATACAATTGGTTTCGAAACAAAAATTTATTGCCAGGTATATACAAAGTTAATAATAAAATCAAAATACTTTGTTTTCATACTTGTAATTTGAAACAGGTAATACATTATAAATATAATACTCTAGACTAATTATTTATTTATTTTTATATATTAATTATTTATTTCTATAGATATATATTTTTACTTATTTTATATATTTTGCATTTAGCTCAAGTTATTATTATGAAAAAAACTAATAAATAAAGCCTAGATGTTGATACACTAAATATATATTTGACCTCAAAGCACTAAAAATGCCACTATAATATATTAATTATATACCAATAAATACCAACACTTATGCTTTCGTATTATGAAAAATTAATTAATATGACAGGTGAAAAGTACAGTTACCAAATTAAAAAAATATAACCCAAACATTATTCATTATTTTTTTTTGTAATCAATCTTAAGCAATGAAAAGGTCATTTTTTCTATAAAAAAAAAACACAAAACAAAACTTAAGTGGAATTATAGTATATTAAAGTGGAATTATATCAACCACTTTAACAGATGTCTCATATACATAATTACTCTAGAATGATAAATATTTAACTTGCCCTAGTGTAAATTAAATTGCCATTAATGTAAAAAAAAAAAATTCTAACAAAACTATACATGATTAAAATTTTACAAAAATAATATAAATAATATGAAAATATATTTTTATGTTTTAGATACTATACTAGCTTCTATGAGAAATATTTTTTATAACAAATTTTAATCTCATAAGTAAGATCTTAATTTATCACGTAAGTAGTTAAATTTTTAAAATTATAATAACAATTATAAATTATAGAAAATAATGAAATTTTATTTTTTAACATACGTAAAAAAAAATCTAAAAATTTAAATTCGGAAAATCAATCACTTTTAAGTCTATATTGATATAAATGTAAATTTATATATTCATATACAATTATAGGAGGAGACAAAAGCAATTACATATTTCTGAAAATAGATATATCACAAACATTTTGGATAGTTACATGGATAATTTAATTTTAATTTGGATAGTTAATATTGTGTGAATAATTAAATGAAGTTGAAATATTTTATTGTATATTAATGTTAAAATTAAAATCCTTCCAATTTTGTGGTTAAATTTTACTATACTTCTTTGAAACTATTTAGAAAATGTATTTTTATTTAAAGAGTTAAGAATAATTTTAATACTTAAAATATAACCGATGTTAAAAATTAAGTATATTGTTTAAAATACTAATAAGTAACAACTCTTGAGGAAAACAATTATGACTTATAGTATGAGGAATGTGTAAAGAATTTTAAAACTTATCATTATTTAGTAAATATGATAATATGAATAGAATGTTTAAAATTAATGTTGTGGTAAACAAAATAAATACAAAACCATGTATGTCATTAAAAACAATAAGTATAAGGAAAAAATAAACATATCATTATAAAATTCTATATATTTTTTTATGAATTTTTACCTATACAAACAAAATATTATTTTATGATTACCACTTATTAAATTTTGTTTAATTTATAAGTTATTTTCCAATTAATATTAACTAAAAGCTGATCAGAGGACAATAATGATTCAATAAAAAGTTTGGTACAGTTAAAATAATACCTAATGTAGAGATATATTTATTCAGTATCATATTTATTTATGAAATATGATATTTATTCATATCCCATGAGTAATAATATATGACTGAAACATTTTAAAAAGTGTATTTTAAATAGACAAGAATATAAATTAGAAATAAAATAGCAAACATATGATTTAAATAATTCATTTTTATAATGTAGAGAAAGGTATAATTTTAATTATATAACAATAGAACATTGATGTTAAAAAAAAATTAATAAAATTTAAAGTTAAAGTTCAATTATTTGAGACTATTTTTAATAAATTAGTTCTTTAGAAAAAAATTTTGTTGAAAACCAACTATGCAGAACTTCAATTTTGACTTATTCTTAATTGGTCGATTTTTAAAAAAGGAAAAAACTTATTATATAAAATTTTTTGAAAAAAATAATCCATCTGAATATATAGAAAAAAATTAGGGTTGTTGTTTAAAAAAAGTAAGTTGTATTGCGCATGTATGTACTATAAGGGTAAAAGTTAAAAGTAAAGATAACGTAAAGGTTAAAAATTCGAAAATTGTTAGTAAAAAAAATATGTATTTTAATACTCCCAAAGCCCTCCATAATATTAATTTCAATATAAGGTCATCCAACTGAGATATTTAGAGATACATGAAATCATGATCACACTGTATATAAATAATAACCATTTCTAAGATAATAATAATAAAAATACTTGATAAAATTTTTTTACATAAATAGTGTTAAAAGTATTTAATATTTTAGTCATTGATATTAATGAATAAAAGTATTTATAAAAAATTATATTTGAAAATAATTAAAATTAAAAATCAGAAAAATAAATTATAATATAGATACATAAGATATACCTATATATAGAAGAATATTTAATATTAAATAATACAAGGCCTATTATGACCATTTATTACAGTATTAATTTGTGTATAAAATAAAATCGGTAAAATTTAATTATACATAAAAAAAACATGACTAACCCCATTTCTCAGGATATAATATTCCAAGTTACGTCCAGGCTCTAACCAAACTCCTTTTTTGATATCTTCATCAGCGAGAAACAATCCATAATCTTTGGCTAAAATAAACCGTAAAAAAATGCAAAAATAAAATATGACTTTGTAATTAAATATTTTAATTTTTTATAACACAACAAAAAATATAAAAAAATATTTTTTTCTATTTGTCAAAATAATTAATTTTTATTGAATATCATGTACTTTTAACATAAAATGTTTCATTAGCAATAGATAAGTGAATTATAACATAAAAATGTTATAAATCTAAATAAATAATTTAACTATATAAGAATGTGCATTACTTTATAGATATATAAATTGTACATTGTCATAAGCATTACTCTATACTAATTTTTACATGACCTCAAAACAAATTTGTTAAAAACTAAATATTATAAATAAAACTAGAATTTGAGTACTTTTTAGACTTATTGCAATTTTCCAAATTTAACAACTCCATATAAAACATTATTTTTAATGTAACCCAATTATTAACATTTGTTATAGTAAAATTCCCTTTTTAACGCTGAATACATTTTTAGTTTTCCAAAAAAAAAAAGTAAGTTATTATAAATAAATTCTTATTTACTAATCATTGATAAGCATAATCATATCAGTCAGAAATAATATACTGAATTATAGTTTTTATCCCATCAATAAACATTGATGATTTTCAACTGTCGAGATATCAGCAAGAAAGTAATAGTAACAGTAATACACGAATAACAAAATAACTTATGAGTAAGACCCGGATTTCAATGTAAAGTGCATATTTTTTTAGTTGATCATACACAATGCTTTCTAAGAACATTATTCGTTTCATGTAACAAGGGTTTCAAAACTACAAACTTTATTTTTCATTTTTAGTATTATTGGGTCATTTTGTAGGTTTTTAATGCATATTTGTTCGATATACTAAACAAATTTAGCCTATTCAAAAGAAAAATTATTTTCTAGATATTTAAGTAGGTATATCAGGTTTTTCCATACACAATGGCAATCTTTATTTTTCGATTCAGTTTTTATCTTATCTTAATTTATTATTGACTATGGAAAGTCACCAGTATTCGGTCAAATAACAAAACAACTTTAGTTCGTATTACCTCGCAGACTTGGTTTGTATTACATGTGAATGTGATTTTAATGTATTAAATAGTGTGTTAAATAATGCCCAAAACAAAAAAAAATATTTCATTTTTAAGTTCATTTTTGTGGTAAAATGTATTTTTTAAGGACATTTATGGCTATTTTTTAGAGCATATTTGTATGGTTTTAAGTACATTTAAATCCGGACCCTACTCATGAAATAAACATAAATATACTCTTTAGATGAGTAGATGCTTTGCACCGAAATGCCATGTCTTCATCGATTAACTCGTAGACCTATCGACACGGACGAGTAGCAGTGCGATGAGATATGTCGTGACGTTGAACAGGGTTAGTAAAAAACAGTTAGACTTACGTTGATCTAAGTTGGCTTCGGATATTTTTTCTCTGATCAGCTGGCACGCGTTGTACACGGATATGGTCGGATCGAATTGCATCGTCTTGGTGACATCTCGCTCGACTATGGAGATCCTCAGCGACAACGTAGCCATCTGAAAACCGTAATCCCGCGATTAGCGTCTAGGTACTCGTGCGGTTCAACGCCGACAACTTGATGGCGAGATGAGAACGCGGTTGTGACGGGCGGGTGGGAGCGAATGTTCGCTATGAATTTTCGACGGTTAACATGCGCGACTTACCGTTTGTATCCGCCGACGACGATGGGATGTGCGACGATGAGATGTGCGACAGCGGTACGCGACGCGTTGGCACCGTACGCGTGTGTATGTGTGTGTGCGCGCGCGATCGAGCGAGCGTATGCGTGTCACGTACGTGTGCGCGTGTGTACAGCGTCCGTTCGACGTTCTACGGCGAAAAGTTTAAACGTCGATGACGAATCGATCGGGAATCCGTCGCGGGCAACCGTCGCGACACCCGCAAGCGGCAGCGGAGTAGAGCAACAATAACAACGGTGTACTAACAATAAAACGATTAATGATAATGGTAACAACAACAGTATCGACGAGTGGCGTCGAACGGCATGATAACGAACGCGACGACGACGACGACGGCGGCGGCGGCGGCGGCGGCGGACGTGCGGACGGACGCGAGAGACGATTACGGCTGCGACGTCCCTGTACCCCTCCTAGCGCGCGGACCGGATCTCGGCCGCGACCAAAACGACCGTGTACGCGGCGGACGCGTATTATCACCGAAGACGGTGAGCTCCACCCCGTTCCACCTCCCACTAAACGGTCCGTCGTCCCGCAGCCGCTGTGCATTCATCATCATCATCATCATCATCATCATCGTCATCGTCATCGTTAATACGATGTTGGCGGGGCCGAATGACGCAAGCGCGCGCCGAACGGTATTGTACGGTGATGTGTTGCGGAAACGGATAACATCTGTCGGACGTTGACGACGAAAACGGCTTTGCGCGCCCAAAAATAGAACACATGGCCCCGGACGGCGGAGGCCGTTCGTCGGAAGAGCCCGTCACTCCGCCGCCGCGCTTACGGACGAGCATAATATTATTTCGTTCGCCCACGTTTACCGGCTGCTGCCCCGTTCTCGTACGGCTCGCAACGCGCGTGTCCGTCAACGGAGCACGTCCATCCGTATTTCGATTATCGTACCTCACGCTTTCGCGTGTTCACCCGTCCGCACTCCGGCAAACGGGGTACATCATTTACCCGGTTAAATGCTCGGTGCCGCTAACCCGCGCGATGTGCCCACAACGCGAACCCGGCGCCGAAATCACCCGAACGAATCACGAACAGTTGCCTTACTCTTCGGCACAGAGTTCGGGTTTGCATTAACCTGTGATAATATCTTATAGGTCTCCAACCTACGGGCCAGGTTTACCGATACTTTGTATTCAACATTATTCCAAATCTGAACAGTTGTGCTCGTGAAATAATTTCAACGTTTAGCTCGTAAAGTTTCGTTAAACTAAAAACGTAGATTATAAGTATAGAACTAACTTATGCGACGCGTTGTTGATTGGAACAATAAGGTTTTATGCAAACTATCAAGAAATTTAAAAATACGAACAATAATTCCAAACTTATCGTTAACTAACTTAATCGTATCTCAATAAGACTAATTTTGAATTATAAAAATTAAAAAATAAATATATACTTTTCTTAAATTAAATGTTATTTATTCTTCAATTTCATTATCTCTTTAGTCCTCTAAAAATGTTTGGCTCACGATACCAATTTGTATTATGTACAATTGTATTTGTGTATATTGTATGTATTGTAATGTATAATTTATTGTCGCTAGCTAATAGTATTACTTTTATTAAAAATATTTCAGAAAATATTATAGTCGAAGACACAAATTGTACTTTTAAAATCGTATTTACACCGATATTAAGAGGCCCCAATGACGAGGTGACCTATTTTTTGGTAAGGATCCAATATTTTTCCAGGGTACCGCTCCCCCACCACCATTGACAGGTTTATATAATACATTAAAACATAACATTTTATACTTACAAAATATACCTGTATTTGTACAGGTATTCTTAATTCCTATGTACTTTATTAGTTAATAAAGTAATAATAATAACACTCCGATGATGTAGGTAGTCTAGGGTATTGAATATATTATTATTAAGCCCTGTATGGTCAACCGATCCACCACAAAATTTTCAAGGTGCAATAAATTTAATCCAATATAATGTCTTCACCACTGAGGGACCCTAGTATAAACGAGTTATGGCCATTTTATGTATTCTACACAGTTTCTAGGAAAAGTACCTTATCATAAAAAAGTTAAATACCTTACAAAAAAAAAAACACCGCACGTCCTTTGTCAACAAATAGTCGTAAATAACCTTATTATACGTAGTTTTAGATATAGAGACGTTTGTCTAGATCAGTGGTCTTCAACCAGTGGGTCGCGACCCAATTTGGATCACGTAAGCTTTAAGATTGGGTCGCGATAAATTTTCTGTTTAAAATTTAAAAAAAAATTCATATTTATAAATAGTGGAGGAGTGTACACAATTTACCTCAACACGCACCGACCTGAACATGCCATCCAACATAGTAAAAGTACTTAGCGAAAAACAATCTTTGAAAATAGTCACATAATAGTCACAAAATAGGTATCACAAATATTACATTAGTAAATCTTAATTTACATCTAACTTCACCTATATAATATTTCATATGTAATATTGTAATTTTAAATCTACCACCTAACATATCAAATATATAACATCTAATAGCTAATAATGTTTGCTGTTAAAGCCTCAATTTTCAAATAAAAAAAAAAAATGAATGAACAATCAAATTAAGTGATAGCCCGACTTCATTTATAAATCTCATTTACATTTCATATATCTATAGACTGCATTGTGTTAAATTGAGCTGAGGTGGAGGTATTTCGTGTGAAAACAGTCCGGGACAAATATCGCACTCATTTCTTTTGTGTATCAAAACATATACATTTTTCGGTATTATTACATGCATTTTTTTTTTTTTTTTGTATCATTACATGTATTAAAAATTAAATATTTCTTTAATACCTAAAAAATATAAATTTTGATTTATTCAGTTATAAAAGCACTTCTAAAATGGCATACAATTTTGACTTTTTTATTTGGTTTTCATGGCTATCGAAATTTACATAAGTCGCGAAAAATGTTTGGTAAGAAAAGTGGATCGCAGGTCGAAAATGATTGAAGACCACTGGTCTAGAGCGCTTGGTTCACGAATGGAAATTGGATTGAAGAATAATATAATATGCGATTTTCTCATTATTGCGACTGGTCCAGTATTTACAAAAAAAAAATTATAATTTTTCTGTTCGATTAAATTTTCCACTATACTGTGCTACATAATTTTATTTTATTTGATACCGTTGCTCTTGGTGTTTTAACATAGTTTCATCCTATTCTACAAATTTACGCTAGTCATCCGTTTATTACTAAGTACTGTAAATAAAATTGGTCATTGCCACGACCGTTTCAAATGCTTAATTAACTATTAATAACACATCTATTTAAATAACATTACTGCTACATACGACGCCAAATAATCTATACAATATCCATGACCGACGATCTAGGTCTTACTGCCACTACAATAGACTACTATGTACTACTAATTACTATGAATATACTCATGTTGGTGAAATCTCTTTTCAAATGTAATTACATATCTGTTTACATCATGTACCTATTCATATAATATTATATTGATTTGCCTCTCAAAGTAATAATATTAAATTGTTTAGATTCCGTCCATAATTTATTTATTGTTATGGTTGAAGACCAAATTTCAGTATTGTGACCGTTGAATTTTCATTATATTTTAAGATACAACTATTTTCAGAGTTTGGCGCCGCTGTCAGTGCTTCTCACCCTTCTACGTTCCCACCTTAACCGTAAATGTTCGAATTTCTTTTGCTCGAGTTACTACCCACCGGTTGACGTGTACGTCGATACCTAACCGTAGTCTAATGACTCTCACCTCGCTGAGTTTGCTTAATTTGTATGAATTTGTTAATTTTATCATCACTAATAATTACTGTAAAATTTGTTTTATTTAATAATGAAAATACGAATTTATATTTTAGAACTAATGGAAGTAACTAATTAATGTAAATATATTACATTGAATTAAGAAAATTTGTCTTTATTTGTGACAAGAAAAAATTAATAATTTACACCAATGATGATTTTACGTATTATCAAAGGGCATAAGACTGGTATCACAATATGTGCATAATAGAGTTATCAATTTAATTATATTTTATATTTTATTTTATTAGGTACCTACTTTATATGAAATTCGTTTATTTGATTCCTTTTTTTTACGCCACCGGTGGAATAAAAGTATTAATTTATAAAATATTATTATATATGATTTCTAGATTTTTAAAAACATAATATAATCAACGAAAACATATACCACAACCTTCATTAATTGCTATACGTCACACTAACTGTTTCAATAAGTTTAACCTTCGACCACTTGTGAACATTTATTTTCTTCAGAAAGAACCACTGGGAATATTAGGTCCTCTCAGGCCTATTGAATGTGCTAAGTATGTTACATTTATGAAACGTGTATACTATACACTGTATAGTACTTAGACCATCTTATGGCAACGGCACATACATTTAACAACGTTATATTTTTTACTTCCCTACACATGCCATAGCCGTCATGCTTTACTTAAATATTTCTAAAGATTTTTTTATGCTAATTTAAGTGTCTACCATATGACCATGTACGTATTTTTACATTTTATATTTTATATTACATTTTTTACATCATTATATTTAAGGGGTGTTTCAGGAAGGAGGTCAACAGCTCACTCTGGCATACGGTTGTGGGCAAAAATATTATTACGACGAGTATAAAAAAGTTTTCGAATTCGTAACGAAAAATGAATAATGACAATGGCTTTCTTCACATGTAGGTGTTTATTTTGTATTATAAAATATACAAATATTTATTTCTCGTCAAAATGGTCATTATGTTTCAGTTCTGAGATAATCAGTGAATGAATTAATCCTATGAAAACACAGCAAAAGAAAATTTGTAGATTGTTATGAAACTCCGGAATTTAAAATAAACAAAGACAACAAATTGAAAACATTGAATGGTCCAAAGCTCCTGGTCATTCATTTGATTCTTAATTGATTTTGATACCACAATACATACATGAACCTATGCATAATTATTATTAACTTACCAAGCTGTTATTTATATTTGACTTCTTGAAACAATAAATGTTTTTTAGAAATACTTCCACTCCAAACTTTTCCATCACTTGTATATATAATGTAATGAAACTTATGATAATTATATACAATTTGGTTTATTATTTGGAATACAAGGGTGTATAAATCACATAATATCACTTTGTTTTTTTTATTTCTTTTTCTCTTTCCATCAATAATGCTTTTTCCTTATTTTTATTTTATAGTTATAATTCTGATATTTAGTTATATTTAGATTCTATTGTACTTTAATTACCAAAGGGTAACCCGCTTACAAAAAATAAATAAATATTTTATTATGTTATAAAACAATTATAAGAATAATATATATTTGAATATTTTTTAACTTAAAAACTTAACTCCAATCTATAACTCTCCGACTTCAAACAAATTCTTTCTAGTACATAAGTAATCTTGCACTCCACAAC